TCAGCGCAAAAAAAAAAAAATATTGGTGCGTATAAAAAATTCGGCCAAAGCCAAGTACAATTTCCTTACTGGTTTTCAATTCAACCAAATTCTATTAATGTTGAATTTCTATAAAAGCTGCTCTCAGCTGCTGCCATTGATGAAGCGTTGCGTTGACCGAATATAAAATGCAACTCCTCCTTGGCCTAGTGAACGGTCACTGATCATACGAGCTTGTGACTGGTTTTTTTTTATCGTAGATTTTGGATCTTTGTATAAAAGTTGGTATTCCGAAAAAACTATTCCATATCGATTTTGTTCCGGAATTACAAAAAAAAAACTTGTGACCGCTTTGTGACATGCAACGTGCCTGTTAAAATAACTTTTTCCCTGTTATGAACTCTTCCCTTCCAAATTCGCGTAAATCGTTTTGCGTCGATTAATGTTACAAAAGAGAATTCTAGGCAGAACCTCTAGGCGTTATAAATCAATAACCATAGAACCGTAGAGCACTTACGATGACAACTTTTAAGCTTTGACATAAATGCACTACTAAGAGTGAAGACCTTTTTAATTGGAAAGCAAATTTTTTAAGCTCCTAATGATTGAGTAGGGAAATGTGTTTGAATTGTTTGCCTTTCCCGGGACTTTTTTGCCAGATATAAAATATATTTATTATCATTATCTGCAAATTGTTTCGCAAAATGCAACCGTTAGTTAAATGTCATCAGTGCATATGATGGCATAAATGTTTTATTCTATTTATCATGCATTAAATAATATCCTGGCAATTAAAATGGGTTTTGTTTTCGCTTTGAAATGAAAAAAAAAAAAAAATGTTTTTGCTTTTTTTTTTACTAAAACTTAAAAACAACAATACATATAATATAGTATACGTTGAAATATTTATCCAATAGATTGTATTTATAATTGCTTTAGATAGAAATCATTTAAAAAAACGAAAACGAAAAAAAAAGAAAAGAAAAACAATAAAAATATGAAAAAAAGAGAATAAAATCAATTATAAAAACTATCAGACAATAGTATGTAGTGAATGTAAACAAAACTTTTTTTTTTTCTACACATTTATTTAAGATTTTTTATAACATCACTTTATATATGGATATGCGTGTAAGAGGAAATTTTATATTAGAAAATATATACATATGTATGCATGTATATATATATATATATATATATGTATGTATATTTTTGTCGATTTTTATCGTTATACTAAATTACTGTCTGTCATCAGCAAAGAGTTCAATAACATGATAATGATGATAATGACGGCGATGATGAGACAAAATAATGCAATGAATTTCAGTTTCCCTTTTTCTCGTTTAACTTTCACTTTCATTTTTTCTCTCTTCTTTTTTTTTTTTGCTTTTTGTTTGAATGTCAGAAAATGTCATAAGTGGTATGCATGCGAAATGCAGACATATTCAAGATAATCTAAGCTAAGTGCGTACCATTACCAGTATGTATGCATAATTTTTAAATACATTCTCTTAGTGTTTGCGTGTTTTGAAAATTCATATATAGCATAATAAATGGATGCATTTACTGTACATGAGATAAACTAAAAATTTTTCTTTAATTTTTTTTTAAAGCAAAGACATATGTAAAACGAATTTAAAGAAGAAGTTGAAACTTGGAATTGCTGCATTGTTCATTTCTTTATGCTTTAATTATGGATGGAGTAACGAACATTGTAAGGACGAATGGTTGGAGACGAACGGCGAACAAGTGGATATCTAAATAGATTGGTAGATGCACGAACATTGGAGGCACAGATCGAAGAACAGAGGGACATACGAACGAATAGATAGATAAATAAATGAATGATTAGATTGAAATGAAAATGAACGAGTAGAAGAATAGCCAGATGGATAGACAACTGAGTATTGAATGCGCAGCTTGGAGAACTTACGAATCTGTGAGCTGACAGATAAACGTAAATAAGGATAGACGAATATATGGACGGATGAATGGGGTAATTAATATTGGATGTATAAGCGTAGATATGGACGAACGGACGAATGATCATGTGGACACGCAAGCAGATGGATGGACATTTGGACAAATGAATGGGCTAATGAACATTGACTGTAGCGAGCGAAGTATTTACGAACGCGTGAACGGAGGTATGAATAAAGAGACGAACTAGCAAATCTATGTACAAGTAGATAAACGAATATTCGGACAAATGAATGGTGTAAGGAAAATACGAACTGACGGACATTCGTACTGATGGATAGATAAACAAATGAACGGTTAGGTGGACATGCAAGCGCAGCGGGTAGATCTATAGACAGTGGGACGAACTAATTAGCATTGGCTGCCGAGATCGAAAAATATACGTATATATGAGCAGATTGATGAATGAAAAGATGAATGAGCAGATCGACATATAAACGGATGAACAGATGGGTGAACAGGAGCAGTAAGTAATGAAATATTCGCACGTCGCAGATCCTATTTGCACATAATATTAACAATTAACAGATTTAACATAATCGCTGTTTGGGTGTGTGCGCGTACGTTTGTGCGTGACGGTTACCGTTTCCCATTGAAAGCCCATATAAAAATTGATATATTTTATATAAAATATATCACGAATAAAACTTAAACATATTGTAAGTTAATGAGGCGTATGAGTGATATTCATTTATTATTTCACTCTTATGATAATGTAAAGAAAAACTTTTCAATGCCATAACAGAATTGCACACAAGAGAAATAAAATAAACCGTATTATAGCCAGGCACGTATGCAGATGCTTTTGTCATATCGATCGAATTGATTTTGTAGTCTCTCTTGATAACATTTTTATTACGATTCTCAGTTCAGAAATTTCAAAGAATTTCAATACTTTTATATAGACACTTAACGTAACATAAAATTTAAGCATTTTTTAAATGAAAAAATTATTAATTTATTTACGTATTTCTGAATCGTCCGTTTATGTTCAACGCTTAAAAAATTATTAATATTTTATAGAAATATTAAAAGTGAAGCAAAAAAAAAAAACCGCCACAATCAGTTTGAAACGACTCTTGCATGCCCTTCATCTTAAAAATTAAATAATCTAATATTTTTGTAAAGATAAATCTGTGTAGGATGGAAATGGAATCCCGGTGACCAATTGCAAAGTTCAACTATTTTGCCCGTCTATCAATTACGGTAATATTTTC